GAAATATTAAACTCTATGTCTAATTAAAAAATGAAAATTTACAGCTTTAAGAACACTTGGTATATAGTGATCTTGAAGTTGAAATAATAAACCAAGAAAAACACACTCAATCATTAGCAGTAGTCATCTAACCTTGCTAAAATAACCTGCCAGATGACAACCAGATGAATTCCATATAGTTAAAACATAAAAGAGAAATGGTTCAACATCATAAAACAACGTCTTATGATCGATAAAAAGCTTAGCTAAGAGGCATAAGTTTTGGCAGTAGCCTTTGGCAATATTTCCATCAACCTGAAAGTAAAAATTTTATTTGAATGCGAAATTCAAAAAGAGAATCACAGCATAAATTTATTCGCTCAATTCGTGCATTAATTTAGTCAGGGGTCACTTTGTTGGCTAATATGTGGCAGTGTTTTTTTTTTGGTTTGCTTTTGTCTTCTGAAATAAATGTATCATCGTGACACTACCCAGCCACTGCTGTTCCCAAATTGCGATGAATATTCTTTGTTTCGGATGGACTGAAAAAATTTACTTCGAATATCGAAATATCGTCTTGACGAAATATTTCATCACCTGGTGGAAAATCCAACCAACATTTGCTCTACAATTTTCAACAAATTATATTTATAGAAAAAAAAAAAAAAAAAACGAGAACAGAAATACTTGACAATGTAGCAGTGTACTGGACTAAGCGTCTACATAATAACGTACAAGTATAAATAAAGTTCAAGTTAACTATCATAAACAACTGAAATGAAACAACTAAATATAAAAACAAAAAAACTAACTGCATGTCTTTCTAGTGTTTCTTTGCTTTCCTTGAAATCTAGGCACTTTTCACAAACGTAAAGGTGTCCTTTCCTAACAAGCTCTAACGGTAATGGTGAGGTATACGGTGGTTCCAGTTCAAAATTACCAATTGTTATTGTATGTATCCGTGGAAGAGTTAATAATTCGTGAGATAAATTCTAAAAAACAGTTAAAAAGTTTTTGACTTCTTCGTAATTTCCTCGATTTTCAAAACCATCACACGATCTTTAAAGAGTGCGCAAGTGAATGGACAAAAAGTGATGATTTGAAATTTCTGTTCAGTACAAAATTATATCTGATTTATAATTAATATTAAAAAATCGAACATTTATAGAATACATTACTTTATAAGTTTTGTGAGATTCCTTGTGTACCCGTTTCTTTCTATAACTGTGAGCTTTGCATGAGGAAATTCCATTTTTCTGCAATATTTTAATTTGTTTAGTTTAATCTCAAACTAAATTAACAGAAAACATGTAAAAAAAGATTCAAGAAGGAAGTGAAATTTTGTACAAAAATATTCGTAGGATCTTTCAAAAGTGCTGAATCTTAAAATTAGATAAAAGTTACCAAACTGGATGATGTGGAAGCACCCAAATCATATTTTAATGAACCATCTGGTGTATTTCCAGTTACAGGCAGCGAGGCTTCTGTATCGCTTGGAGGTGATTTAGCAACTAGGGGTACACCATCGAGTAAATTACCGGATTCAGCAAAAGTTGTTTTTTCGGCTCTGTCATTCTTAAAAATCAGTATTTTGAAAAATTATAAAAAAGATAAATGGACGATTCGTTTAAGAAAAATTCACGGGTGAAATTTTTGAAATAAAATTCAAATAGCTGTTCAAATAACATTTCAATCAAAATCCACCACAAAAGAAGATTTCACGCAATTTTCAATTCTAATGAAAGAAAATGGGGAAAGACAACTTACTGCCTGATTTTCGCTTTTGTTACAAACCATATCAGCAGTAGAAAAATGTCTGAAAATAATAGATGAGAATATTTATTAAGAGTTTGTCACAGCAAGTGATGAAATATCTGATTATCAGAGAAATCAAAAAGCCGTTCTCCAAAATTTTTATAAATGGGAAACACTTAAAAGTTGAAAGATATTGCTGCAAACATTCTTATTTTGATCTAGTCTAATTGTAACGCTAACAACCCTTAAATTACAGATTTTTTTTTTTTTTTTTGGTTTTTCTAAAAATATCATTTTTCTAAAAATTTTCTAGAAATATATCGCAATATATTACTTATCCATTTTTTCCGATGCATTAACAGAGGGAAACATCCGAATTTTCAGTGATTTGCGGGGTGAGAGTGGGCACCCTCGAAATGAATTAATCAATTCTGCTTCATAACGCGGTTCATTTGACAATGAATTACTGTTTAGTGCCTGCAAATATGGAATGAATTTTGTATAAAATCTTTCAGTCAAATAGTACTACGTGCCTACCAATTAACTAAATGAATTATATGCAATAAAATTTTCAAGTAGATCGGTGAACAAATTTATGCTATATAAACGTAAGAATGCATATATAAAAATTATCGATATATTCAATATTTAGTCCAAAATTTTCCCCACTACATAAATGAGGTTAGCCATTAATCTTATATGATGGTTCCAAATATATGTATAATATATAGCTTTAACTAATCAGTATCGTCAAACATGAAACATTGTTTGATTATTTGAATTTTCTGTGACACTCTTCTGGTTTCTACCTTTAAAAAAACATTTCCTTTTTTTTGGTCGGAGAGAGTTATCCATAAATTCTTGATAAAGATTCCTAATTCAAGAAATTATTTCGCTCTTAAATAATCAAAAATTACTATAAAGTGTATATTACTCTTATATTAACAAAAACTATAAATTGCTACGAAGTATTATGCTTTCGACATTATGCTTAACCTACATTCTTCCTTATATGCATATCATTGTTTATATTAAGCATATTCAGAAACATGCTTATTACTGTGCTATCCTTTTTATAAACTTAAAATAAGAAACCTTTTCTTTGGGAAGTTTACGCGACTCATCATCTGATTCGTGATAGGAATGATAGGAATCCAGTGGTTTCCAAAACCGATCAAGTGTTGTTTGCCTTCCGTCGTTTAATTTGAATCTTTTTTTCATTGATTATTTGGTTTTTTCAGAATTTTCCATCCTTTAAAACACTACATTTTCTCATTCTTCTTACATTGAAATAATTCAGGAGAAACAAAAAAAAAAAAAGACAAGAATTTATAATAATAATTTGCATACATATAGAAAAAGATCGAATACGATTTAGGAATAAAAATTATGAAATGAGTATATCACTCACAACAACGATGTCACGTTAAGCACACAACGCAACGACGTACAATAACACGCAAACGTCATATTCCACAGTTAATAATGTTACTATATTCAGACCAACGAGCAAATAATAATGTATGCATCCTATTTTTGGGGTCGTTATGAAAATTCAATTATCTACTTTATTGGGACTTGAAGAAGAATGGAAAGATTAAAAAATTTACTGATTCCTTAACTTAAATTAGTTAAAAATAAACTTTGTAAAGGAGATTTTTGTTAATTTAATTGTAACGGAAAACTTTTTTTTTCTTTCTGCAAAAAATTTATATTAATGCAAATTTGAAAATATACAGAAGAACAAATTAAGCAAATAATATTGATAATTAGTTTTTATTTTATGCTCTAATGAAGCAAAAATTTTGCACAAAATAAGATTGTGAGAAGATTGCATAATGATATATTTGTTTGATATTAATTAAGAAAACAAGCGAAAAAACAAATTTTATAGTCGATCAAAACAAGAAAAAAAAAAGCTTCTTGTTACAGTAAAAAATAAACAAACATTTACTCAAAAGAAAGACATTTCAATTCTGTGGCAAGTCTAAAGTGATATAGTTTTTTCATTCATTTATAAATTTTAAAATTTACTTTTCAAATTTCTATTAATTTCACATAAAAATAATCTTTGTTTTCTTAAAGTGAATAAATGAAATAATGTTGTATTAAATTTAATTTTTCAAAATTCAATCTCGTATTTTCTTTTTAAATTTCATTTACTTTATTTGGTATAGTTGTAAGGATTTTTGTAAAATATAATAATTTATCTTTTGCTTCTTTTAAAATACAATTAAAACTTGCATATTTCCTTTAATGAAGCAACATTGACATATGTAAGTGAAGTAAACATTATTCAACGATGTAATATGACCTTTTCTCTTTTTTTTATTTTTTCATATTTAATTGAATTTTTATCATATTAAAACTAATTTTCAATATTTTGTGATTTTTTTCCTTTCTGCTTGATAAATATGACAAAAATATTTCATTTCTTTTCATTTTTTTCTTTTTTTATAAATACTTGATCTGATCGATTTGCTAATTGCAATTTTTCATTCAATCTTCTGCTTATTTTAACTTTCATTAGTAATTACTACTTACTTTCTGTTTCTTCATTAGTAATTACTTTGTAAAGTATAAATTTCACAATGAATTCAAAAAAATTTTTGATGGTATATGCTTGTTGATTTAAATTATTTGATCTTTTCTATTCAATTTTTTTTTGCCAATTTTTTTAATTGCATAAATTATTAAATTTACCTTGCGGAGAAGTTCGATTTCTTTTTTCAATTTTCAATTTTTTTACATATATTGAAATGATTTAATTCCGGAATGAGTTTTACAACAGCGAAATAACAATAAAATATGTTTCAGTAAAATTTCAGTCTTTTTTTTTCTGTTTTTCTTTTTGCTTGAAATTTATATCCGTTTCTTTTTTAACTTGAAATTTATATCCGGAATGTTAATTTAAAAAATGCACTTGCTTCTTCATATCCGTCAAATGAATATTTTCCTTTTTTTCGTTCTTAATTGTTATAAATGAGAAAGCATAAAATTAGAAATGAGAAGAATTAATATTAGTATGATTGGATTTTAGTTCAAAATATATGCTTGAAAGCTAATGGCATATATCTGCGTCTATCAGTTTCCGATTTATTGTATTTTCGGTTTAATATATGTGAGATTTTACTTGAAGCATTTCTTTTTCATATTTGAATAATTTTTTTTTTTTTTTTTTTTATATTTCTTATTTTGCTTACTCTCATACATGTATGTGTATGTGTGTGTAAATCATAAATCATATTTATTTTCTGTAAATGAAGTTACGTGGAATTTTTTCGATACACTCTACTTTTAGAAGATGCTCCGCTGTTTGAACCTGAAGAACTATGTCTTCTAAGTGCAGCATCACGTGATTGCGTGATTTCACGGATTGATTTCGACGAAACGTCTTCACATGACGAAACTTGTCTACCACTTCGTGAATTGAGAACTGCTGTATGCGAACTAGTAGCAGTAGATTTTTCAGCAGTAAAATTCTAAAATGGAAATAAAAATCTACACTTTTTTTTTGCTAAGCAATTGCCAAAATTTAATAGTTGAAAATTTTTAAAAATTTTCAAATTAGTAAAATTTGAAAATTTTTAAAAATTTTCAAATTAGTAAAATTTGAAAATTTTACTCGATAAATGTCTTCCAAATATTCTCGTGCTTGTTTAGCAGTAGGCCGTTTTGATGGATCATGATCCCAACATCGTCGCATCATTGTTATCACTGATTCGGGCATATCTTCTGGACTTGGTAATCGATAGCCAGCCATTACCTTATGAAGTAATTAATTAATTTTTTTCATTAGACAATCGATCATTCACTTTGTTTTTCAACTGTGATATTACAATTTTAAAATGATTTAACATTTATATAATTTTTTAGTTTTTTTTTTAATTTAACATTACTATACTTTACTTTCAAATTTTTACCTGAATTACTTTAACCTACAGTCAGATCATTTTCCAATGATATTTGTATAATTTATAAACATAAAACTTACCTTAATTTTATCCTATTATTTTAATTTAATTGCCACAGAATTTGAGTTAATTATAAATTATGATTATATTTAAAAATTAAAAATCACCTTTTCTTTAACTTTATACGCTTTCCATGTACTGTATGGATGAGTATACGGTATTGTGAATAATTCCCAAAGGGTAATTCCAAATGCATAAATATCTGTGCAGAATCGTGTCTCGCCGGAACGCCATACCTATAAATTAATAGTTTTAATTTAATTTGACAATAACACCTATAAATTAAATTAATAGTTTTAATTTAATTTGACATTAACTTCACATCAGGTTTTTTTCTTTTTTTTTTAAGACAAAAAATATTTGTTCGCATTGTGAACAGATCTTCATTTGTTATATTTTTTTCTTTTTCAGCAAAAAAATTATCGCATAATCTTCCATCTTTTCACTAAGTAATTTAATTTAAATAAATAAATTAAGATTTTTATTTTTCATTAGTAATTTTTAATGAGCCAATAAGCAAATCAATTTTAAATATGATGCGATAGTATAATTTTCAAGTGTGGAAAATATTTCTTCTCAATGTTAACTTCAAAAATTAAGATATATTATTAATATAATATATAATAATATTTGATATTATATTTAATTCTTTCGCTTTTTTTTTTCAAATATTTAACCTCAGGTGCAAGCCAGCGAACATTTTGTGGTTTTGAAAGGTCAATTTTATAAACAAGCGTTGCTCGACACATTCCAAAATCAGCTAACTTAACAACTGCTCCATTAAGAAGACAATTACGTGTAGCAATATCACTGAAAATAACAGAAAAAATTACTTTTTGAAATAAAAAACAAATTAGTATAACTGAAAAAAAAAAAAAAAAAAACGGAGAAAAATTACTTACTTCAAACAAAATTCAAATACGAACAATAACTTTTGACATTGAAATGGTTTATTTTATATCATTTTATTTAATTTCAATTATTACACTACTCTGTTTACTTACCTCCATTTCGTATTATCTAATATTATTTTATTTTTATCTTACCGATGAATGCAACCTTTCAAATGAAGATATTCAAGACCACGAGCAATTTGACATGCAATATCAATGCGTGACTCAATACTTAGACGACGTCCATACTGTCTTAATTTATCTTCCACCGATCCATCCTTTAAAATATCTTTAAAAACATTTCAAAAATAAAAATAACCAATTTTCTTTTATTTTTTGAAATTTAGCAAAATTTTTTTTATGCAAAAATTTGATGCATTTTTTAATTTCTAAAAAAAAAAAAAAAAAGAAAAATTATTATTTCTTGCATTTTATAAATATTTTTATAATAAATTATTAAATAACATATACCTTACAATATTCCATAACAAGCAAAAATGGTTCCCTATCTACGATAAAGCCATAAAATTTAACAACATTGATATGATCATATAATTGCATCACACGTGCTTCTTTCATTAGATCAATTAAGGCCTGCTCTGATTTGTCTGCACAATCAATTCGTTTAATTGCTACCGGACAAAGATTCTTTAGTAATATACCTTTATATACCGTTCCATATGCGCCATAACCAATCTATGTTAATTAATCAATACTTTGATTTATTTCCTTTTTTTTTTTTCATTTTTGTTTCAACAATTACTTTCATTGCTTAATTTTAATCAAATATAAATGAAAAAATTTTTAAATGTGTAGTCATTGATAAGAAATAAAATTTTTGTCAACCTTTTTCATAATTTTAATATCAGAATGATTCAATTCAAATCTGCCTTTTTTAATTGGTCTCCTCAGAAGTAACGAATCAATTCCGTGTGCTTCAATATTATGTTCTTGATAATATTTGATTAATGTATTCATTGTTGAAAATGAACGTCCCTAAAGTTTTTTTTTTTTTTAAAAAAAAAAAACTACTCGACCGTTTGTTTTCTCATTCGGAAATAAAAATTATTTATTTCCGTAATGTTTCTTAAAATAAAAGAATACAAAAATAAATGAATTAAGAATTTACTGCAATATAAGAAATGATCAAAAAATTTGATAAAATGTTTTTTCCTTTTTTTTTTCTCTCTGTAGAATTTTTTCCAAAAAAATGTTTATTTTTGTAATTTTAAAAAATTTTTAATGTGATTTTTACACATACAAATATGCGATATCCTTTCTCAAGTCGTGAAATTGGTATTCTTATTGTTCGATGTCCATGTCTAATGGCCAGTATCAATTTGTTTTTTTTCTTACTTTGTTCAAATTTGGTTTGTAATAAAAAATCACCATTTAATTCTAGCAATTTATCAACATCATCATCTAATAAAGCACCATGAAAAAATGGTAATGAATTCTCTTCGGACATCAATTCGTGCTAATTCTGTAACTTGACAATATTTTCCGGATTTATTCAAACTTGTTTTTTTTTTCTTTTGAAAAAAAAAATAGATCATAGTTTATGTGTTTGTATATTGGAAAATGAAGTGTTGATGTGAAAAAAAAAAAAAGTAAATGGATCAATCGGTTCTAAATATTTGAGAAAAAAAGTAATTTTTTTTTAGATGGAAAAAAAAAGATTCTTAATTATTAATTTTTGACATTCTGCTCTAATGACATATACGCTCGAAAACTATTCATCCTGACATTTTCTCTAATATTTTTTGCTTATAATTTTAAATGATTATTCAATTTTAGATTGAAATTGACTGAAAAATATTCTTATGTGTATTTTGATTGAAATTGTTTGAATTTGAATCATAAATATATCTGGCATGTTGATCTTTTGCTGGAACAGAGATTAAAATGAAATTCAAATGATCTAACCGTTTTAAATGAATGTACATCTAGGAAATGATCTAGAAATTAATGCTTCTTACCTTAATATAATTATTAAAAAAAAAAAAAGAAAAATTGCAAACTATATTGTGTATATACAAATTTGTAAATGTTTTAAAGAAATGCTTTATGCTAATTTCTATTAGATAATACAATCTTTCATTGCACAATTTGTTTTTTTTGTTTTTAATTTAATGAAATTTAAAATGAAATGTCATTTTACAATGTCATTTTTGATGACAAAAATTAGAAAACGAAAAGAACAGATGTTAGTTAGAGGGAAGGAAAAAAATAAAAAAATAAGAACTGCATTGTTTGATGGGCAAATGATTTCATTCTTTCTTGTATTAATTTTTTATTGCTTAATTCTTTTCACGTCATGTCACGTAACGTTACGTCCTGGTACATCATTTATTTGTTTTGTAAATATTTTGCTTGCAAAACAGAAAGAGAGAGAGGGAGAGAGAGAGGAGAGAGAGGAGAAAAACAATTCTTTTTTTTTGTGCTAAGCTATCTTAATATATTGTAAAAAGAAATAAAAAGAAACGATTGATGTATCGTTGCATTTTTGCTACATAAACATTTGATTGCTTTTATAAACTTAAGAAAATTTTCTCTTTCTTCTCACTGTTACCTCTAAATTGATAAATGATAATAATAGACGATTATCATATCAGTTGATTAATATTTAACTTATATATAGGCAAATTTATTTAGTTACCCTATAGAATTCATTTTTTCTTCCTTTTTTTTTAATTTCTCATAAAAATTATACTTTTTGTATTTTTTAGAATTTAGAAAAAAGTTAGAAATTAGAAAAAATTAATTGTTTACACTTTTTGTATTTTAGAATGATAAGAAATTTTTATTTTAAATTTTGTGTTTCTAATTTTATTGCATTTATTTTGAATGATATATGATGTAAGTTTGAGGTAAAATTTTATAACAAAAAAAATTTGAAGATTTTTAGGTATTATTTGATAATAGATAAGAAATATAGGATGCAAAGAAATGAGAAATTGATAAATAAACGTATATTATTATCATAACTTATAGTATAATAGTTTTCCTATAGCTATCCTTTCATTGATTTATTTCGATTTTATACTTAATTTTACTATTTTAAAATTTATTTTAAGGAAAAAAAGTTATCATTAAAATGATTTTTTAGCAAAATAATCGTAAATTTTAGATAATAATGATTGGTTATCGAATTATTATTTTGCTTCTCACAACTATTTGTTTATCAATGATGATGGCTAATATGCTTACATTCAATTTTTGCATTATTTGCATGACTGCTGATAATTATGACTATGTGGAAAGTAATATCAAAATTGATAAATTAAATGGTTAGCACTATAAAAATTTCAAAGTTAAATTTATTAACAGTTTTGTCACATAAAATAAGATTTATGCGGCAAAATAACAAAAAGAAAAAAAAATGAAAAAATTTACTAAATACTAAAGATTTTAAATCTGTTATTAAAAAAAAGAAAAGCAAATTGAGTATTACTTAAATTTCAATTTATAATAGGCAAATTTCTTTTTAAAAAAAATTGGTTTTTTTTTTCTTTTTCTTTTTTTTAATAAAACTAATGAGATTTATGTAACAAAATAACAATTATTAAATTGGTTTTCTTTTTTTCTATCATAGATCTAAATTCTGGAAATTATTCCAAACAATCAATACAACGCGCTATTGTAATATTTCTAACAACAAATGAATTACAATCATTCAGTCAACAATACAAACAATTGGATAATATTTCATTACAAGTAAATATTTCATTTATTTAACATTTTCATTTGAACAAATTAATAAAATTTTTCAGCTAGTAATTACATTGTTTATTTGAGCAGTAATAAATTAACTTTCAGTTGTGATATTACAATGGTTATTCTTATTGAAATGACAAATTTGTTTTGAAAAAAAGCAGTTTTCATGAAGAATTTTTTCTTTTCCATTTTTTTTTTTTTTTTTTTTTTTTTGGAAACAAAAATACTTTCGTTTTTGTTGTTATTGCAGAGGTTTTTTTTTACTGCAATTTTTTAAAACTGTTAAAAATTGTCAAAACGTGTATCGCTTAACAATAATGTCAAGCAATTTTAATAACCCGATAGCAGCGAGTGGTTTCGATCCACCGACCTCTGGGTTATGGGCCCAGCACGCTTCCACTGCGCCACGCTGCTCCACATCTCTCCAACTCTTCTTCTAATTTATAAATTGCTTTTTATTAAAATTGAACAATAATTTGTTATTTTATGAACAATTGTCGTCCTATTTTGTAATTTTATTTTTTTTTCTTTGTTTAGAAAAAAAAGAAATTATTAGTTAAATTTTTTTAATGCAGTATTAAAGTAATTAAAAATTGCTTACAAATTGATATTTTAATTCATTTCAATATCATGGCATAGTGGAAAAGAAAATGAGAAAAAAAATAGAAGAATTTATGCTGTGGAAATTTTACACACAATTATTGTTGTTAATAAATAAATTTCATTTAAAATGAAAAATTTAATTGGAAAATATTTGAGAAAAGAAGTGAAAATTTTTGAAATAGATATTAAAGAGAGGTAAGTAAAGCTTAAAGCATTATTATTTGCCAATTTTGTATTATTATTATTATTACTATATACTAACTTCATTTTTCTTTTCCGGAATATTTTCAGGATGTTGATATTCTATCCATAAGTCACAATGGTACCATTTTTTATCGTTTTCTTCGGAAAGTAGCAGAATACAAGTACACGTCACGTGAACAGTCTATATTATTTGCAGCTACTGCAATTGGAGCATTATTTGCCATTCTTCCAATAAGTTTTAGCATTCAGCATTATGGAATAAGGTAATAAAGAATTTATTTCATAAGTGTTCGATTTTCTTCGGAATTTTAATCTTCGGAAATATCTCAGTGATATAATTCATTATTTATTGGATTATGAAAAACCAACAAAAATAATAAGCTGATTAGGTGAAATTTAATTTTTCAACTTCTATATTTGAAATTGAATCATCACAATTTCATGTTTATGAAAAAAAAAAATCATTTTAGGAAAACATTTGCTATTGTTATGTTTATTTCCGGATTATCGACAGCATTATGTCCCTTAGCTGCTTCCTTTGGTGTCAGCTTTTTAACTATCAGTCGAATTTTACAAGGTTTTATACTTTTTTTTTTTTTAAAAAAAAAAAGAAGAAAACATGTATATGAATTTCAAAAATTTTCATAGGAAGTCTGCTGAAAATAGTAAATTTTATTAAAATCAATGAGGAAAAAATTACTTACAATATTGAAAAGAAATGTATTTCAGGAATCGGATTTGCATCTTGTATGCCACTAATTGGTTCAGTAACATCCACTTGGGCAAAACTTACCGAAAATGGATTATTTAGTGGAGCACTTACAAGTTTCATTCAGGTTTCTTTTTTTTATGGTTTTTTTCAGATAGAAAAAAAATGTTACTGCATTTTCTTATTTTTAATTGTTATATATTTGATTAGAAATTTAAATATCTGACATTTTGGATTGATAAAGTGAAGAATAATAATGGTTGAAAGGATAATAAAGGTAAACAATAGTATATATGTATCGTTATTATATGTACAATAATATATAAATAATAAATTACAGATTATATAAGTGTTAGAGAGAAAATAATGATAATTAAATAATTTTTTGATAAAATTCTTTACTACATATTTTAAAAAGAAAAAAAAAATCACAATTATTTTTATTTGCTATGCTAAAGATTTGAGTTAAGACAAATAACAGTAACCTTTCTCATTCATTTATTAGATTTGATAATATAGAAATAACTAATCAATCAATAAGCGATTCATTCACTCAATCAATCGCAACAGACTTCACAAATTCATTTTTAAACTTTACCGCGTACATTTATCTACCAATGAAATGGTCATTCTCGCCATAAGGGTCTTATTATTGTACAGAAGGTCAACCAACAAAATGGTCTCACCATGAAGATCTTATTATTGTATAAAAGGTCAACCAATAAAATGACCAATCTCACCATAAAGAAGGCCTTACTTATTACTGTACAAAAGGTCAATCAACCAACAAACTGTGTGTGAAATTAGATGACAAAAGCGATGGGTCTGGAGGTATTGACAAGGCTGACTAATACCGACGACTCGCAAGCGCTATCCGGCCACTGTCATGACGCGGGGACTTTTGCCTGCTGCCTTTCGGCCCTGAGCCGTACGCCCCTCATTATGCGACCAGGTACCGATGACACTCCTATCTCGACACCTTGTCGACGCCACGCTTGGCCTGGACGCTCGGTCGCCACCGCCAAGCATCAGCCAGGACTCCTCCTCTCACTCCATCCGCCACCACATGCCTCCCAGTCACTTGGATTACAAGCGCTCGCCACAACGCCCGGCGAACAAACGAAATTTATTCGCTCTCCTATACATTCTCATCATACATTTTCAGGTGTAAAAATTCCAATTTTACTCATTTCTTATAGCTTTTCTAATGACAATGTTTACAGCTTGGCCTTTTCTAATAACAATGTTTACAGCTTGGCCCTGTGATAACAATGCCAATGTCTGGCTTTTTATGCTCAACAAGCCTAGGATGGCCATCAGTTTTTTATGTCCATGCAACAATAACGTTAATATTTCTTGTAATATGGTGGATTTTATACAGGTATTTAGATGAAGAAGACAGTGAAAGATTCATTTCTAAAGATTTTGATTCTAAAAATTTGAAGGATTCATTTTTGATTAGTATTTCAAACATTTTTGTATTTTTTGAGTGAATTTAAAATTTGGAATAATATTTTAGTAATTTTGCATATTTTGTAAAGCTTTTGTTCCTTTCTTTCCTTTTTTTTTTTTTGATGAAAACCTCAACTTTTGTATTTGTGTATACTAATAGAAATATAAAAAATAAGTTGTAATTAAAAGGGATCAACCAAGTGATGCTCGCTGGATTTCCGCTTCTGAGTTAAAATTGGTAACTGATGGAAAAAGTGATAATAAAGTAAAACGAAGTGAAGATAAGGTTTGCTAGTTGATACTGGCTATTATTAGTTTGTAATGTAAAACCTAAAAATTTATATTTTAAACTTAAGCGTATAAAACATATAAAATACGAATAAATGCAAAATATAAATAATAATTGTCAAACAAGTGAAGAAATCAATTAATATCATGATTAGTTTAAAATATTCTGATGAATAATAGATACAAATTTGATTATGAATTATACTTTAAGTTACCAATTCGTGAAATTTTCCAAACAACATCAGTTTGGGCTATTTGGATTGCAGCTATTGGTAATATGTATAGCATTCAAATGGTCGTTGTTTTTGCTCCAACTTATATAAGTCAAGTTAGTGTGCATTTCAAAAATTTCTAACATTGATTATGCTAATGAAAAAGAAATGCTAATGTGGTTTTTTTTTTTTAAAAAGACAAAATTATCCTTTCTTAATTAAAATTCAAATCCATAACTTTCAGGTTCTTGGATTACCCATTGTAAGTGTTGGTTTAACCGCAGCGTTACCAACATTATTGCAGTTTGCAGTTAAAATGTTAGCCGGTACTGCAAGTGATAAAATTACATCACTTAGGGAAACTACGAAGGTTAATTTTAATTTCTTCAATTATTTTAATTATCAGTATTATCACTTGCATAGTAGGACTGGGAATTTTTCAGTACCTTTGTTAGATGAAATTGTAATTGAAATTTGGTAAGAATTCATTGAATGAATTTTTATTCGATAAAGAATATTTTACAGTGTTAATGTTTAAATTTAAAAAATTTTTAACTATTTGTTGCAAAATCATATCAAATTTCAGGAAAACGTATGAATTACCAAATTGGTTTACGCTACCAATACACTTAGATTTTATTTTTAGGTTCGGTTATTTAATACTGTAGCATTCCTTGGTATGGGTATTTTTCTTATTGCCTTAGCATATACACCGGCAAATCGAACAATTGTAGCACTTTTTTTCCTAATTAGTTCAACGACAATTCTTGGCTTCAATACCGGTGGTTTTTTCAAAAGTTGCACATTGGTAGGTCGACAGTACAGCTACTTTGTCAATGCCATCGTACAGGTAGGGTAATCTTTTCAGTACAGGTAGGTATTGATCAAGAATTCCGTGTTCCAAGATTCATAGATTCTAAGCTATAGTATAATAGCTTCTGAATATGGTAGTTCATAAATAGAGACTATTTATATTAGCATTTATAGTATTTTCAACATACTATTTTACAGTGTAAGGTAATTGTTTTATCTTCGTAAATCAACTGTAGATTAATTGCTTAAAATTTATGTGTTTCTTCTTTTTTCTTTTTTTTGTTCTTTTTTTGATGAAGAAGGAGGAATGTGTTAAGAGAAAAGGTAGATATTATTAGGAAGAAAAAAGAAAATATTTTGTAAATTTTGATTTTAAATTTTCAAGACATTCTACTTGGTTATTTGCACGTTCAAATGCTCTTTTGAATGAATCACATGAATCACTGTGCTTTTGCAGGAAATTTTCAATTATTTTATTTCGAAAATTCAATTCTCTCCATAAGGATTGATCGACTGATAACATTTAAAAATAAAAACAATCATTTCTAATATTCCATAATTTGGAAATGTAGAGAAAAGTCAAAATCTCAAAGAAATAAGTGACAATCTAGAAATGAAATTCAAATTCAATTATTGTTTTTCAACAAATAACAATAAATATTATCCTAATAAATTCTTTCAAAATAATATAAATAATTTAACGAATATTGATGTAACATTAAAAATTCTAGGTGATAATGTGCATAGCAATGTTAACGGTACCATTTATTGTAACCTCATTAACACCAAATGGTCTCTCAGACGAATGGTACCATGTATTCATCTTGCATGCTGGTTTTCTATTCATAACGAATGTAATATTTTGTAAACTTGGAAAGGGTACTGCAGCTGCATTCACATGTTCTAATGGGATATCAACTGAAAATACCACTGGCGAACAGTTGAAACCAGTATTCTTGTAAAACAGGAAATTTTCCTATTAATCAAAACCAGCGAACATTTTAGTTCATTTTTTACTGGATAATAATTTTGAAAAGGGTGGGTACCGAACAGGTCCCGGGGAGATTTGAACTCCCGTCGCAGGATTCAGAGTCCTGAGTGCTAACCACTACACCACGGGACCATGCCAATAGAGTTCCATAAGTCTTAATTAAATTGACGTAATACATTTATTTTTGTTATTACGTGAGTTTCAAATGCGGAAACGTAAAGTGCCTTTTTGTTACGTCATTTAAAATCTTTCCCTTGATATAAGGAAGTTGACGATTCATTTAATATTATCACTCATGTTTTGTCATTTATATTTGCATTTGAAATTTAATCAATTTATTTTGAATCCAATTCAAATCATTTTTTGTTTTATATGCAATTTTTTAAGAGATGACTTATTAATTTAAAAAAAAAAAATTATTCATAAATTGGTTTTGTAACTTTGACCTAACCAAAGAATTATATCTTTCATTTAATTACATTAGATTTTGTTTATATTATTTTTCAGTAATAATAATTAAGTGATAATGATTATCCATATCATCTAGTCTTTTTCCGCAATTTTGTTTTTTGTGCTGTAATGTTGCAATCTGTATTTCAAATTTTTTATTGAAAAAAAAAGAGTGTGTTGACATATTTTAATATTTTTGTATTTTATAAACAAACTAATGTAGGAAGAGAGAGAGAGAGAGAGAGAGGGTGAGAAAGAGAGATCATATTGTTTTGACCAGTTTTAACAAAGTTATATTAACAAATTATAAAAGATAAATGTTAAAATTTTCAAATTACTCAAATTACTAGCTGAATTTAAAATTATCATTTTTTACCAAAAAAAAAAAAAGCAAAAAAAGCAAAAAGCAAAAACAAAAACAAAAAACAAAAATAAATGCTAATTAGTACGATATGAATGCGAAGTTAAATTAACAAAATAGTTAAGCTCAATTTTTGGATGAAAATAATTTCATTTAACTACTAATTTCTTATTTAATATTTAGCTAATTATTAATTACTTCTTTATTTCTATTTGTTTGTGACTGATTGCAAAATGTTGAATTAAATATTAATGCAATATTCAATTGAAATGATACTATATGGTTGAAACTTAACTAATAATATACATATTATAATATAAAGGAAAAAAATATTATTCAACGATAAAAATTTTTTAAATCAAATTACAATTATCAGGAAATACACAAATAGCACAGAATAAATTTTGAGATTAAAACAAAACATAAAGAAATGGATAAAAAATAAACAAAAAAAAAGGGGAAGAAATATTATCGACAAAATAATTATATATATATATATTTTTTTTTTAAAATATTTTAGATTTTCTCTAATTAAATTTTGCCTTGAATTATTTTAAATTAACAGTTATGAATTTAGTATTATTTCATTTCCAATATTTTCATTTGTGAGTTAAAATTAAATTAACATTTATGAGAAAAAAAAAAGTTATTATTTATACTAATTTTTATGAATTAATATTGAAATTACCCTGACTCAACAAGTTATGAGTATTAGCAAAATGTAATTTTGTTGAAACAGATGAAGAGCGCCGCTTATTTGACAAATTTGATTTCGTCTTTACCACATGATGAAACATGCCAAGAGCTTGCATAACCTGCATAATCTGTCTTTTAATCTTCAATTAATTATCGTTGGAATTTTAATTTTATTCAATGAAGTGCTTTTTTTTTTTTTTTTATTTAATTATCTTTACATTAATATTTCAGTAATTAAAATTTGAATGAATTAAGTTGGACAATTTGATAGTTGGCATTATCAAACTCTTCGATGAATCTATGTATGATATATTTATCAAAACTGTTATTATCAAAAATTTTCAAACGATGTTTGCTGGTGAAAAAATAAATAAATAAATAAAAATAACATACATTTTCACGTTGATCTTCTGGAATTCTATTTAAGCATTTAGTTGAGTCACTTTTTATCATTACCTAAAAATTGAAATAATTCAAATGTAACGATAGAAAGAAAATAAAAAAGTAATTTAACAATCTTTCGTATACTTAAATATTTTATTGGCAAGTTTAATTAAATATAAAACTTGCATGTGTATTTAATGGATTTAATGAATCTTTGATTTCAACCATTCGAATTCCATTATTTAGATATTCTCGAAGTTCACGATTTTCTGAACGTGAAATTCTAGTCTGACGTCGATTTTGAATTTTTTCAATGTTTAATTTTATTTTTGGATCTGTTGCTTCCGTAATTATATCATCCAAATCATGTAATACTTCGTAAAGCATTTTTGGTGATACCTACAAAAATTTAAACAAAAAAAAAAAAAAAATAAATAAAAACAATTTTATAATCAAGCTTAGCATACGTAAATTTTTTTTCAGCATTGAAGGATTAAAAACAAAAACGTATATATTTCAATTTACGTAAATATTTTCATATATGCGTAAGGGTGAAAGATGAAAATAGATTACATGTAAGTTTGCAATAATTAAAAGGAAAAAAAAAGAAAAGAAAAAAAAAAAAAAAAACAATTGTTCCAACACTAAATGCTATTAATTTACTTGGTCAATAACAAAATTAGTTACCAGTTAGCTTTTTACGGTTAAGCATTAATATCATCGATAAATCATTTATCAAAATTATTATTAAACATTACCAATAGAGGAAGAAAAAAAAAGACAGAAGAGAAAATTAATTTAAAACATTTTAAATCATTTTTCGTTTTTTTTTTTTCTTTTTTCATCAATAATAATAAACAATTTTACTAACATTAAATTCATCTGCAACAATATAAAGTAATTCGGATACTGACATTTTAGTACCACCAAACCATACTTCAACGTGAGCTGCGCCGCTAAAATCACGTCCTAAATAGTGTAATCTTCGAAGGTAATTATAAAGTGAAGCAACAAATGTTGACATTATCACCTGAAAAAAATAATTTATGATTAGGAATGCTTATAGTATATAATATTTCATTACCTTATTTTTAAAATCATCTTAAAAAAAAATACCACAATTCTACTTCTTTTTTAATTATGAACACATTTAAAGTATTTATTTACATTTTCATTGATCATTTTCGAATAATTATATTATATATTGAAATTTGATAAAAATTGGAAAAATAACATTACAATCTGAATTTTATTAAATTCAGATTATATCTCACCAAATCTACTTTTTTTTTAAGAAAAATTCTTCTATATCATATTAACATCTTTTCCATGCTCTCAATTTTATATTATCAATTTCAATATATCACTTACCATTCCAGTTGCAAGATAAAGAACAATAATTAATGTTTGTATAGCATTATTTGGTGTTGGTGTTATATCACCATAGCCAATTGTTGTAATTGAAACAAAACTGAAAAAAAAAAATTTTAAATAAATTAGAATTAAGAAGATTAAAAAAATAAGCAAAAAATCAATTAGTACTAAAATTTTTAATTTGAAATAAAAGAAAATATTAAATTAAAAGAGTGCAATAGATTAATTTTGTATTTTCATCCGTTTTTTTTTTTTTTTTTTTTAAATTAAAAAATTAATTGAAATGATATATTCATTCAAGTTATTCATGTAAAAATGCAAATGTATAATTAACCTAAAGTAAATTGCCGGAATAACAGGCATTTGATCAATCCAAAAATGAAATAATAATCCACCAATTACTGAATGTGTTAGCAATAATGTTACAACAATTGATAATGGTAAACGGCGCTCATCTGGTGCATCAATGTACTAAAAATGTTTAAAATTTAAACTAATCAAATTATTTATACGTATTTCTCTATTATATTCTATTCATTCATGATTTTGTCGAAAAAAAAAACTTTTTTTATTAATTATATTCGATTATTTACAAACTTATAAACAATCATGTATCATTTTTTTTTTTGAAAAAATAATAGATAATATATTAATCTTTTTCTAAAGTTTCAATTTTCTTTTTTTTTTATATATGGTAAAATTTCTTGCTTTTAATCAAAATTTTTTTTTGTCCAAAAAATTTTGATTAAAAGCAAGAACTTTAAAAATTTTTTTGCAAAAATATTTTTGCAATAGAGACTAAAGTTATGATTTTTTTTTTTTTTTTTTGTTAAAATAATTTTTAACCAATCATTTTTTCTTCTTTTGATAGTTACTAAAAAAAATGTATAATTGAGTAATAATTATAATAATGATTACTTGTGTTCGTTGTAATGATGCCAGGAAAATCCAATAACCTTCTGCAATAAATTGACCAATATTTGTTAATGAGAGGAAAAGAAGAGGTACACCAACTAGTGTGTAAAATATGCAAAATAATTTACTTGCATCTGTTGTTGGTACGATATTACCGTAACCTGCAACGGTTACTGTAATTTTCGTATAGTATCCGCAATGTAAAAATGATGTGATTCTGTTATCAGTACGATATTACTGTAACCTGCAACGGTTACTGTATTTTTTTCGTACAGTATCTGTAATATAAAAAATGATGTGTTAAGCCTAAAATTATGATAAATGTTTAAATGAAGCAAAAAAAAAAAAAAATCAAACTAATAATAAATTATTCCATTTATCTACTGGTAAATAAATTAAAAAAATTTCTTGTCTTTCTTTGTTTTTATCAAATAAAGACGAAAAAAGGAGAATTTTCCATGCTTTACATTAATATTTTAGAATTAATTAAATTAAATTATCAGTAGATAAATGGAATAATTAGTTTGAGAATAGAAGTCCAAAAGATCATACAGGTATGATTAAATTCTGAACAAGCAAAAACAATAAAAATAATTGCAAGAACTAATTGATGAATTAAAGTATAGTTGATCATTTTCAATTCAAGTATAGTAATTGCAATAAGTTTCAACATTTTTCACATTATTTTAACATCTATTTAATATTAGGTTTTGAACCATCTCAAGTTTAAAATAATTTCAAAATAAAATTTTACTAATTTTGATTTGTCACATATTTTATTTAATTATAAT